TTGTATCAAACTTTCATCTCTGTTAAAAAAAAGAATTAAAAGTAAAACAAGTAAAAGTTCACGTTTATTACTTCAAAGCAAATAAGCAGTGATGTAATTAGCTTAACTAATAAATGTTAATAATCAGACTTATGCAAAGTTTTATTTGCTTAGTCTAAATTTTCGAAAAAAAAGCATTACATGATACGCTTCATAGACGTTTCGAAGTCGAAATAACTGTTGCAGCAAGAAGTAAAGCTTACGTTTCACGAAAGTTAAATTAAAGTTGTATAAATAATTTAATTTACTTTAAAAAATTAGCAAGTAGCGTTACAACAGCCTCTATGCATACAGCAACAGTGAACTGCCACCTTTCCAGCCAACTACTATTACGTGCTTTGTAACACAAACGCATACCATAGATGAGGAAAAAAGTTTCATAGCCTATGAAGTAGAATAAATTTGATATAAATTTAAACATTAGCAACTGAATGACTTAAATGTTGATGATATCATGTAAGTCAAAGGTTAAAGTTGAGTGAGAAATTTGGCTTGCATTTAAAAAAATCACAGTTGTGATTTATTACTTATATTTAAACTAAGATAAGTAATTTAACTTTTTTAAAAAGATTTCCTTATTCAAAATTAATAATCTTAAGAATTAGAATGATTAAAAGCATATATGAGTCAATTTCGATCTTTCTTAAATTTATAAATGATACCTTGCCAAGTCATACTCCATGCTTGTACTGGGCATTGAGGCCAAGTACTTGTCCAAAGACTGCTATCTGCAAATGATCCAAGTGTCCAGGCTGTGAGGCCGGTCATTACTAAGGCAAGCATACATGCCAAATACTTCATCAAATCTTCTTCTTTCACGAACACGTGATGAGCTTTACGTACGCGATATTCTTGCAAATTCCTTCAATTAGTTTTTACATTTTAAGACAATTTAAAGTACAAAAGTATTATAATCACATTAAAGACTACACTCAGAATGACGGTACACTTCAAATTACTGAAAAGCAAAACCATATTACTTTAAAAAAGAAAAGAGATATTAATTTAGAAATAGTAACTAAAATAATATAAAAAAGATCACTCATAACGATACGGAAAAAATTTTTAAACTGGTTAATTTTCAGTTTGTGTGCAAATTCATGTAAATTATTAATAACAATACCGAGAGAAAAGTTTTTTAACTTAAAGTTAAAATTAGAAACATATATTAAAACCAAATCGATAATAATATTTTAATTAATAAAAAGAATTTTTTCAACTAATAAAATAATCTTTTGTTCTCCGTTAATAAAAATGCATTGCTTTCTAACTTTGCAAAATTGCAACCTTAACGTTTAACAATATTCTTGTCATCCAATTCACATCATCATTTCTATATCAGATAAATAAATAAAAATTTATTGTTGTAAACGGATTAAATTTTAAAATGTCATACCTCCTAATTTATTTACAATTTTGTAAAAAAATTACTCCGTTACTGAAATACCTATAAATTTTTAAAACGATTGAGCCATAAAAAGTAGAGAATCCAATTTGGCGTAGCCAAACCGCAAAACAGCAGGTAGATGTTCCTGGATTGAACCAGTCTAATAACAGCTGTAAAATTTATATATATAAATAAGTGCATATATATTATAAATAAATGCATTTTAATTAAAAAATGTTTCTAAATTTCTTTTTTTTCTCACATTCAAATATTATTTGTTATTTAGATGCATTTTAATCAAAAAATTTAAATATTATAATTATCAAAATCAATGACTGATTTTGATATCTACTATGGTTTAATAATCCAAGTTTGAGGTAATTGTGGACGAAAGATTGTGCCTGTTCTTCGATGAAACACATTTTCTTGTAATTTTTGTTTCTGTTCTTTTCTCTGTTCTACTTCTGTCTGTTATGGCGATTTCTTGATGCGAGATGGAAGTGAATGGCAGAAATACTAGTGCGAGCAGCTGCGACAACAATCGTAATGGTATCGTAGGCCGGTGACGCCAGAACGGTGAAATGGTAGCAGTACGAGAGGACATTCCAGCAGACCAGTAGATAAGTTATTTAATGGCTCGAAACGAGTCTCTGAAGGACCTTCCCCATCACAGGCGACTTCCAAGAAGCAGAAAGAACAGACCATAACGGCAACCTCATACAACCCCTTGTTGCAGTGTTTCTGAAACATCAAAAGCACTTTGTGTCTTCTGCTTACAGTACTTCTCAAAGACGAAGCAAGGGATGAAAGTAAAGAAGAATAACACGCATAACACCAAAGAAGCGGAAGAAAAGCTCGCTGCAAAGCGAAACTGAAATCGAAAAAAAGAATGCTGTGTAGTCGAACAGTTAGGATATCAAAAGTCCGAGAAGAAAATGGAGGATGAACGGAAATAAACCGGGCCTGAAATTATAGTGGAAAACAATGGGAATGTGAATCAGGTTGTGAAAACCTACGTGAAAGATGTAGGAGAGCACTCTGCCAGCTTATCGAAATCAGGAACCAGTAGGATTATGCTTGAAGTTATTACTTGAGGAATCGAGGTTTTACTAATGGTGGTTCTTGACCTTCCGGGAGGATGCCGAAAGGAGGATGGTCCTTGTATTGTCTGCTGTATTGTGATCACCATTATTGCAGGACGTCTGTGCTCGCAAAAACGGTTCTTGGAGGAGTCAACGAAAGCACAAGATGCTGATGCAAGAAGCAGAAGGACGTGAGATAGACCAG